AACACTGGACACGAAATCTGGCATTGAATACCGGATAGGGTATAACTGTAAACCTCATCGTCTTTTTTCGAAATTGATAACCGAACGACTACATAAATATGGTAGACAAAAGAATGAAGACATAACTGCATAACAGAGTATAAATTGATTATTCGCAATCGATACAAATAGTCGTATTATAGAACTGAAGTTGTTACCTACGATATATCCGGGTACACGAGATATTTGAGAGTATCCATTGTTGCTCGATCGATTAGGCACCCGGATACTCGGTGTATTTTATAGAGTACTTCACTCGTATTACACGGATGTCCACAATGCAATTTATGTTTTTACGATAAACAATAAAACAATGAAGTAATCATTTTAAATCGAATGCTTCTATTTTTCTGCGAAAACATCGACGCGACTAAGCGTGTCTGGTCTTCAGTATCTCGCAGGATGCCTGGATATGTATAAGTACTATAGTATTTATGCTACTAAATATTTTTATGTAAAATCAAGTTTCTTATTGTAATTGTTCTCCAGCAATTTGGAAGCTTTGGTGATCAGTGACCATCGTGACAGTCAACGTGTCAACTTCTTACGCTGGAAGCGAATTTAAAAATTTAGCAAAGTTTCGCGCGAGGAATTCTGTTTTTCTCCATTTTACGCGGATATGTACACTAATATCGTTCGTCAATAATCTTATGCACACTGATACATTTCAAAACGATTTAACCCCTTGCCATACAATACCGAGTTAGACTCACGAGGAAGTTCTCAATCGAAACTCACAAAAATGAAATGCCACTCAATCATCTTGGTTCAAATTAAATACTTTTCCATTATTATTCGTTATATTTTAAAGTACAGTTGTATATAGATGAATTGCGAATTTTTCTTTGTTTTTGATAAATTCTTAATATCAAAGTTATCCTAGCGAACGTAATTATAAAAGAAATCCTAGAATAAGGGGTTAATGTATCTACCGCAACAAGGCTATCGACGTATAAGGCATCATTAGCAATTTTATATCAAAAACACCTCAACGTGGCACGTCTTCCTATCGCAAGAGGTTATCAGTAACATAACGAAGCTAAAACAGTGACATCTATAATACTGAACAAACAATTTCATCTCCTAAACTGCTTCGATTTTGCGAGATTTCTGTCAGTCCAAATTTGCCAGTCTACGCGTTAACAGAGAAAGAGAGAGAGAGACAGAGAGAAAGAGAAAGAGGGAGAGAGAGACAGAGAGAGAGAGAGAATGATCGTGGCTGCGAACGGCACCGATTCGACAGGTTTGATGTTTCTCAGGTGGAGGACAGGGTAATCCGAGCGCCGGCGGGAATGGCGGCGGTCCAGGTGGCGGCGGCAGCGGGGGTGGGTTCCTCGAGCCGCACCAGATGCAGAGCGAAGGTTTGGCCTGGTAGTACGAGTTTTAATTCACGTTATCTTTTTAAAGAACGGATTTTTCGTTGCGTTCTCCGTGGTCGCGGGGGCCCGAGAATTATCGATCGTTTCCGCGGATAAATCGACCGGTCCCCGGCGTACCCGGGCCTCTGGTACGGCCCACCGACTTCGTTTCCTCCACCGGGGCGCCTCGATGTGACTTTTGTCCGCGCGCGCGAGATGGCGAAAGTTCCTCGACGGCCAGGTTTCGAGCTTGTAGCCTGTACGTTACGTTTCTTCCTTGTTCTTTTTCCTTTCTGTTTTTTATTTTGCTCTTTTTTTGTAAGATACGAATACGATAAGACGATCGACCATTCAATCCTCGTTTCTATCACGGTTGTCGTTGATTAACATTATTCTCTTTATTAGTATTTTTCTATTATTAATTAATAATATTATTATTAATTATTATTATTATATGGTCGCCGGTGAACGCACGGCGCAGCTATTTTATTATTATTATTATTATTAAATATTATTATTATTATTATTATTAAAAGAAGAAATTATTAAATATTATTATTAATATTATTGTGTATAAAATTTTCGAATGTCCTATCGTGTAATATTATACCCTCCCTGTTGATTACTTTTCGACGTTACTTTAAGGAACACCCTGTAGATATCTGCTGTTATACATTCGAAGAATCGTACACGAATACATGATACACGCGTACAAAATCATACACACGCAGACACACATTATACGTACATGCATATACATGCATACATACATACATACATACAAGTATGTACACTGACACGCGGATCACACACGATATATGTACACTAGGCGTGTACGGATTCACGGTCACATACACGCGCTGTAACAGTTAAAAAAAAGACGCTGTATTAATTATCACTAAACTATAAATATAAATAGGAATGTGTAACCCGTAATTGTTAAGGCGGCGATCGATGTAAATAAATTGTCTTTCCGCGGGTGTATATATATGTCTATATATACATATGTATACGTACGGTGTGTGCGTGTGAATATATGCATATGTATACAAACGAGAAAACGAACAATGATGGGAAGAGCGCGCGCGAGCGAACTTGTTTAGTAGCTGGACTCTATCACCGAATTAACCGTCTGTAATTGTAATTGCAACGCAAGGAAACACGCGATGGAGACACGCCGCCGCGATGCATAATGATTATAAATATTATTATAATAAACCACCTCGTATTTCCGTATACGTGTCTGTGTGCATTCTATTCCCAGAGTTTATTCTTCTATTGCCCGATTGCGAAGCCGAATAATAGACTCGCAGAACTCGTCGAAATAGTAAGTACATCTTTAGCGTTATTTATATTAGATTTTATAGATCACACGTAGCTGAGTATTTAGCTTTATCTAATATTCTCTCGTATTCAACGAAGCTGGTCTATATATCCCTTATCCTCGCCGATTCATTAGAACGGAGCCCAATTTTGATGGGACGAAGAAGATATTCTTTGAAAGTAACTCGAAAGTAAATCACAAGTGCTATTTTACTATTTTCTATTTTATTCCAATATTTCACGGATCGGGGCATTATACAAAGTTCAACATTAAATATCAGATTTAATAGTTTTACGTCAAATCAAGTGTCTGAGAGTCACCTCCCGAATGCAAAGGGTTAATTAGATTCTCGAAAAAATACAATAGCAATCAAACGTCCTAATATATAACCAATAAACATCCTAATTTACCCTTTGCACTCGGCAGGTCTCTCAGTCACTTGACGTAAAACTATATATTCTGATATTTAACGTTGAACTTGAATGTCTCGATACCTGAAATATTGGAATAAATATCTTCATCCCTTAATATACTTCCACTTTCCTTAATTTTGTTAGTTTCAAAGAATACCGTCTTCGCCTCAAAAATGTGAAATATTTCTAGTGAGAAATTTCTGTCTAACCACCAAACACCCAGACACCCAGCAGTCAATCAAAATGGACGCGCAAATTTTTCTCATACCATCCCCTATTTAGTATCTCGAGCCACGTCCCGTCCCCCAAATGAAATCACGGTTTCTTTCGCGAGTCCCAGCGGGGCAAACACCTGAGACTATCGACGCGACAGTGGAATCCTTTCGGACCCCTAAATCGTCGTCCGCAAAACGCATCTGCGCCTTGGGGGTGGTTGCCCTAACGTCGTTAGCGGGTGCAACGTCGTTTTCCGCGCGAGAAGGGATGGGATCGGGCCGGGACCTGGGATCGGAACGGGAGATTCGTTTTCCTGGACATCTGGTGAATTCGATTTTGATGTGTTTCTGCCCTCCGGGGGTTGGTCGGTTCTTCGGGGCTCCGTTCCCGTATCCCTGACAGTCCCGCTGGGGACAGAAACGATGCTGCTACATCCCCGCGCGCGTCGCCTACAAGCCTGTGTACATACACGCTATCGACCCCCCGCGACCTCTCGAACGAGTGCCTTGTCTTCCTTCCTCCGACGCTCTCTCCCTCTCGCGTAAGTAGGTACGTGCGCGGAGCCTCGTGGCCCGCTGTCACAGTTTACTGTCGCGTCCCCAGGTAGTCGTCTATTTTTCAGCAGCACGCGAGACGCTTGGACCGCCTTTTAATATTGTACCCGCTGTTTGTCTTCTTGACGCTGTTTTAAAACGACCCGTCCCGCTACTGCCCACTTTTTCTTCTTCGCGATGGCGTTCTAGGGTGAAGATGTATGTCTAGATTGTCTGCTTCTTGCTTTGAGGATGCGGTGTAACTAGCTTTATGTGAAGGACACCTGGTCTTTCTTTCCCACGAAGTTTCTTGGTTTACCTGTGACGTTTAACACCAGAAATACCAAGCAGTCACGTAGACTTCAAAATTTTTCTATAGAAACCCCAGAGATCCATCGAGACTTCGATCAGTCAAAACTTCGCGTATTACTGAAACAATTTCTTTAGAAATTTCTTAGAGAAGGTTCTATTGTTTTTTCAATTTAAAAGGAGAATTTAGAATCCTAGCTAACGTTAATTTCTGACAATTCGATATGCATGTCGATTGCCTTTTCGTTGTCTCCCGTTGTTCAGATACGTCTATTCCCTATTCCTTCTTTCAACGTTACACTCGTAACGCGGCAATCGCGAAGTGCTTCCAAACTGACGCTTCAAACTTTCCACGCCCTATCGAATAACTCGATCAGCATGAGGCGGAAGGAACTCTTCAAGTAACTCGATGATTTTCAAGTGCAATGTACCGGGTGAAGCCTCGCGACGGGAGCCGCGCATATTGCAGAATCGAACAGACGTTAGGAAGTTAACGAGTGGCTGCAGGAGCGCGTGTCTTGAAAACGTCCTCTAAACCTCTTCATCATCTCCCCTAGATCGTTGCCGGTTCTCGCGGGAGTTTAACGCGGAATTTAACTAGATCGAGTGGCGGCCGGTGTACACCGTGTGTACATTGTAACAGCGATTCGGCGGGGGAACAGCGGCAGCGTACCGTGTAATGCGTGTCCTGACGGATCTCTCGCCGAAGATCCGTCGGGAGATTCGACAGATGCGTGCCCGCCTCCGCGCCCCAGGAACTACCGCGGGGGTCCCGCGGGAGTCTTGCAGAGACAAACCGTCCCAGCGGGTTCGTGCACACCCCACTGTATCGTTTTTGTTACCCCTCTCGTTAAGGAGGAGGGAATTCTTCCGCGAGTTACCCCCTTCCGAGCGACGATCGCGTTGAAAGTATTTAGTAATTCGATGGTCCGTGGAAGCACGGAGATACTCGCGCGAGCCACCCTCTGTGGCTGCATTCGCTGCAGTGGAAGCATTCGGTGCAGAGTAATCAGTTGTTAATTGGTTCGCTGTTTTTTGTAAACGTAGCTTGTATTGAAATTATTGAGGTTTCTAAGTTTGTGCTACTTCCATGTAGAGTAATCAGTTCTTACTTAATTCGTTGTTTTCTTTTGAAAATGTAGCTTGTATTGAAATTATTGAGGTTTCTAAATTTCATTCCATAATTCTTTTGTTAGAATTATTGAAAAGGTACAAATGCTTTTGTGAGAAATAATGAATAATTTTGCTATGAGGCGAGAGAAAAAATTCTTTTGAACTTCGTTCTGTTAGAAGTTGCTTACGTTAACCCTTAATGGATCAATGTATATAAGTGGCATGGCACTTTTACTTAATGGATCCAACACCTCGTATATGACGGCAAAAATCATTTTATCATTTTTATTACTGTTATTGTGGTAATATTTACACTTAATTTACAATTAACCCTTTGCACTCGAGAGGTGACGGTCACCATTTGATTTGAAATAACAAATTACAAAGTGGTACATATAATATTACGTTTTATATAATGCATCAATATGTGAAATATTTATATAAAATAGCTTTGTTTCTTAATTTACGTATGTTTTCTTATTATTTATAGTGTCATCTATGTCTCATCAGAAAGTGTCGAATGTTTCCAGTGAAAAGCTTCTGAGTGCAAAGGATTAACAGGTGAAGTATTGTGCTAGGTCACTTCTATGAATCAGTTTCCACTTGTTACCTATGACACGGTATCTTTTGACAGTAAACTTGAAATACTTCCAGCCCGTTAAGCGTGAATGGTCTATAATAATTCTCGCCATCATTATTGTAATATTTTCAGTGAATTTCAACCCGTCCAGTCCGTACAGGAATACAGGTGGGTAAGGTGTACAATAATAACTACCTTCGCTATTTCATAAACTCGAGACTCCCGTTAGGTCATCGGAGATTCTATAGGGGATCAATTATTCATGAGCATTAAATTTTTGGCAAGGACGAGACTCGCTCGGAGGCACGCCGCTCGAGAAGGGCTCGGAAGACGCAGGGGCTGATGCGTGTCACAGTCGAAAGCGTTCCGCGTGCTCACGTGTCCGAGCACGTGTCAGGCGAAACAAGCCCCTGTCGCGCAGACCCTTCGTTCTTCTCCTGTCATTATGCAAGGAGGCCGTACAAATCACGGCCTGCTTACCGTGCACGTTTCAACCCCCGCCCGATCGTCACCGGCTCGAATTAACCCGCCAAAGCTTGTGAGCTAATTGGAATTAACCCTTGCTATTGCCATTTGATCGCCTTCACTTTCACGACCTCCGCTTCGCGCTTTACTTTCAATCCTTATGGACATGTCTATTCAAAGCAACCTGAAACCTTCGTCAATTTTGAGCCTCCGACGATTCCTAGATGTTTGAACGTGTAACGGAATAAAAACGTCACCTACACAGTTCAATCATACACGCGATGATACAGAAGATTAACACGTTGAGCACCGCATAATTTCATACAGCAAAATACACAAAATAGGAAAAGTATAATATTAAATAATTTGATTGAATTCCATTATCATTATTGCACGTTGATCTGGCTGAATGTCACTGCATTGGGTAGCGTTATGTATAATATAGAAATGTTTTCAACTAATCATCGTTTAATTCAGTGAATTGTAGTAATTTGATTTGGTTGGGGGTCACCGGTGACCCCCGTGGCATTCAACGTGTTATTGTTACGATAAATAATTCATTTTACTTGAAGTACGCGGACAAACATTTTCCAAGGATCATTTTGAAATCCCTAAATTCTACTACTGATTAATGGCGGCTCGCGTATAGGCACTGTACATCTGCAGCACCCCCAATTTCCACTTAATACTGTCGATAACATTCAATATGACTCCTTTCTTCTTTAATTCTTTCTTTATACTTGTACAATATATAATCCTCAAGCTTAACGTCAGTATCCACTCCCAGTTTACGAAGAGGATAGAGACATTTTAAAACAAGGGCTAAACATTTTCCGTAGCAGCCCCACTAATTTCATCTACAATCCGCCACTGCTACTGAAGCAACAGTCATACTCGATGGTTAACGTTAACGACAATTAATGCTATCATCCGGTAGCATCTCGGGACTAACAGGTTCCACGGATCACGAGGAGATTACGTCTTTCCCGCGGCGAATACGGGGAACGTCTCCTACGCACGATTTCGAGGTTCGTTGAATCGCTGCCGGTTCCAGGAACCGGTATGAATTCGTCGAGCGAGATCGGGACACAATGGGAACGTCGAGTGGCCGTTGTCACCGATCGGAGAACGGAGCCGGATGAGACGTGTCTTTTCGTTGGCCGCGTAGACCGACTTATTTTCGTCTCGATTCGAGACCGGAC